TTTAATTGTCGTAATAAAAACGACAACTCGAATGAAGCCTTAGATATAATGAAACCAAATAGAAGTCTTTATTATTCTCGAGTTATCAGCAATTTGAAATTTCCAAACGGAACACTAAAACCAATGCGCACTTTCATTAAGCAGTTATTCGACCAGAGAGGAATAATGGTCGATTAGTAAATGAAACCGTTTTATCGGAAACATTTCGAATGAACGAGAAAGAACTTTTCGAAAATTTGCATTGGTTCCTAATGGGAATTCTTCGTTCAAACGAACGATTTGTTAATTATCGAAATGGGGATCATCGATTAGAGTAATCTACGAAAATACTCTTCGCGTTGATCCCGAAGACGAAATCTAAACGTTTTCGATTAGTTATTGGTGGCCTAAATCCATCCTATTATTTTTAGAAAAATCAATTCCTCGCACATTTAGGAACAAAAAATAGTACACTTCAAATAGTTTCATCGAAGCAGGAAATTCTGACGTCGAAAAATATTTCTAATCGTTCGATTTCAGATATTTACGCAAACACACGTTTCTACAGATTCAGATAAAAAAAATTGAAATTTAGATGAAAGTACGTCATATCTTCTAAACGGTGTAACATGTATTTTATTGATAATATTTTATATATTGTTGCATACACAAGAAGAAATTACAATATCTCATGGGATATTACGCAGACCAGATTAATAGCGAGGGATATGATGTCAAACAAGTTTGCACAAAAATGGAAGCGCGTTATCCAGTTCTTATCCACCCTGGACCGTTGAAATACCAACTGGGAAAGTATTAATTAACAACCACTGCAAATTCACGTCGATTTAATTAACAGGGGTTAGAAGAAACCGCACAATCCTTCGGATATCCAGGTTCCCATGTCCAGGAACAAGAAGGCGGGAATAGATTAAACTACGAAACGGGTGTTCGCGATTACGGGAACAGACCACAGTAAAATCCGCGAGGTAGTCTACGAGATAATTAATTGCTCGAAAAGTTTCCGTGTTTCTGTCCTTCCCCCCCCCCCCACCTGCTCCTTTTTTCTTCCTCTGTCGATCGATCCCGATAGTTTGAGAGGGATTTTCGCTGCTTGCTCGAAGGGGTTAGCGACGATCGCTGGGGAAACGGGCAGCCAAACAAAAAGCAGAACGAAAAGAGTTTGGACACAATCGGATTCCGGAGAGGTCCGAAGGAAGGAAAAGGGCGACGAAGTGAAAGGGGATAAGAAATGATGTGACGAATCGCTCGAAAGCGGGGGTAGGAAGGAAACCTTTACAACGGTCAGAAATCAATTCCTACGAAGACAATAAAATAGCTATAAACTCGAAAGGCGGATGATATCGACACGACGTGATTTAACGGATGGATAAAAATCGCGAGTCGAACGTAGGGGTGCGATAGATCGTTAATACGCATAAATTAATTCGAATCGTTTGTACCGAGGGAGAAAATTCGAGCTATAGGCGATAAATAATGATATTACGGTTTGAATGTTTCGGGAGCTACGCGAGGAATTCGTAAATGTTGAACTGTAACAATGACAAAGAATTTAAGGCTTTTTCATTTTGATACCGATTAGTAAACTTGATAAGAATAAAAGTATGTTACGTACGTCAGGTTACTGTGACAAGATTTTTTTACGGTTGAAAATTTTACGATGAGCCAAGAAAATTGTCGGGAATAAATTTCGACGGGATAATAAAAAGATCGCGAGATAATTTTATCGATGGATATCTTGCTTGGTAAGGTATTACGAGACTGCAATATAAGTTTTTGCTTCCGCAAGTTATTACAAGACTCCAATATACTAAATAAAGTCGAAATTTCACGGAGAACGTAGTCGTGTTTTTATTCTACCTATATACTTTTATCTCGTCTACAATTTCTTAGATCGAAAGCTTTTGCATTCCGTCTTTCTACTTGCTAATACAAGTACATCCTTCATTTTTGTATAGCATGTACACACTGTCAGCTTACTTTGGACTTTTCCAGATATTGTTCAAGAATTAACTTTGCAGAATGTTTAAAAAGGTATTTTTTTTTTTTTTAAATTAGTTTCCAGGCAATTTTCATGTTTTCTTTTTACAGATACTTCGCATAAACTTTTGAAATGTGGTAACTAATTAATTGGTGTAATATATTTCTAGAGATGCTAAAAATAAGTTCAGGTATAAAGAATGTACGCGAAGATGTTTATTCATACTATTGTTGCTCTCAGTTTACATCATCGTTTCTGAAGTGCCACTCAGGTTCCTGGTTAATTTCAAATTGGAATTTTAGATACATCGGGGAATTCTGAGTCATACGAACTTTATTAATCAAACTCCATGCATTTAAATCAAATTTTCACCCATGTATAGACACGTGTAGTATTCGTGGCGTTAATCAACTTGGCAACTAAAGTCGAAGGAGGCTACCATTTTAAGCGTAATGAGAACACGGCTACTGATCGTTTTCGCGCGAATAAATATTATTTTGTCAGTGGATTAAAAGAACACACAGACACAAGTATCGAATAAAATTTACGCGAAACTTTCGTCCCTAAAATACACGCATCTCCGCTTTGAAATTTAACAATTCCTCCCTGGTTGTCTCCAGTTTTGAATAATGTTCACGTTGATATATTATACCATTGATGTCATTTCGATTTGAATGTAGAAATCCAATAACCTGCATAGAAGACGATAAGGTGTCACTATAAATCACAGCCCGTTCTTCTGCCATACGATGGGAAACTTTAAGCTTGAGTCAGGCTCCAGCTCCTGAGAATCACTCCCTCGTTCATTGAACGAAGTTAATAAATTACTTTGGAAGATGAATCTTGCACACTGGTAAACAACGGAATACTATTGACACTGTATCACTAAGATATCTCCACGAATTAGGTCGTGAACTATCGGAAGAGTACGTGAACGGAGTTGATCAAAATAGCTTCTGAAATATTAAAAGATCTGTTCGGTTGCTAATTGAAGCGAAGCAAATTTACCGAACAGGAAGTTAATTTTTCGACTAACTGATAGAAGCCAGAATAGATGGGATATTCTGTATGAAAATTTAAGAGTTTACTAATATGTTTCTTTCTGAGAGATTTGTATAAGCTGATTGATATTGACTGATCAATTTCTACAACAAATTTATGCAAAAATGGTTGTTGAGAAATTGAAGTGATTTTCCAGTTAGTTTACGATTTAATGATTCTAGTAATTTGCGTACATAGAGCAGGGTTACTCGATATTACATTTCGTCCCGAATGTGTTAGTTAGATTCATCAGTAAAGCTTATCTAACAGCTCCAGTCTTAGATGTGACTTAATCTTAGATAATCTGCTGAACCAAATTAGGTAGTAATATACTATCGAGTTCTCGTGGACTGATTAACAAACGTGTAACAGCATCACGTTCGAGGCAGGATTTGTTAGATAAGCTGTATTGATGAGATCGACGAAGGTGTCGTAGACGTAACACTGTCATATAAAACTTCTTCCTTTTATAGACTCTAAGAAAAAAACTCCTAAAGTGTGCTTAATTGTTCTCTCAAAAATACCACTTAAAGTTGAACCAACCAACATCCAACAAAGCCACCTCTAACAATTCCCAATGCTCCCTTGTACACTCTTCCTATAAATCAATTCCTGAACCTTACGCCAGTGACATCCTTTTCAAATTTCCCAGTATACGTTTTCCTATCAAAGGTACACCCAATCCCTCAACGACCATCGGTCCCGCCGATAACGCAAATCAAATAGATCAGATAGAATCAATCTTGGTTCGCGAGCGTTCCCATCATTCCATCCCCCGATCGAGTTGGCACGAGAGTGCATGCATCATAGTCGATTTAGGGACTTCCAATCATTCTTTTCGCGTTTCCCTCGTTGGTGATTCGTCGCGGAGCGTAGGGAACGTTGGACGAAAAACATAGTCGACTGGCAGTCGCGAGCAGGTGGAAGGTAAGGCGTGCGCGGGGGCGTAGGGCGAAGGGAATGCGAGAAAATCGAGAAAGCAGAATGATGCACTCTTGCGTCTTTCTGCAGCCCCGGTTGGGTCGAGATGAAAAGGTCGGGGCACGTTTTCCGACGTTGCTGCTTCGAATAAAGGAATGGAAACGAAAAGCCGACGGTGGCTGCGTAACGGTGACGTTTTCGACTTACGTGCGATGGGCGAGCACGTGAATTTATTTAACAACCGTCTACGGTACTCCCTGGGATAACGCGGCGGATACATTTTTTATTGTCTTCGTCCCTTTCCACGAAATGCGGGCTGCTTTGAACGCGCACTTCGACGTTACTTTGGATCAACGTTTCGAGAAATGGTTCTGCGAGCTCTCGTATCGCTGATATGTACAGTCTCGAAGTCTAGAGACACGTATAAAGTGGACCTGACGTAAGGAATCGACGAAATATGAATTACGTAAATATTCGATCGAGCCGAATGCACTTTGAATCGCCCGACGTGTGAATTGCATCCGTTTCGAGCGTAAGAATAAAAGGTACGAGTAACATCTTTCATTTTCCCACATTGTGGAGCCGGCAGCGTGGTTCACCTTCAGCCCAGAAAAGAAGAGAAAAATCGAGGAAACTGTAGTAAGCACTCGATACGGAGGAACTGATACCGACAACTGCATCCGCATTTCCGCTTCATTGGTAACCCGTCTGGTGAACGCAATGTAAATGAAAAATCGATTCTATTAGTCCGCAACATTTTTTACAGACCGTTACACGAAGGTCGTTAAAATCGAACGCAGCGAGCCGCCTCTATTATAATAGAAATAATGTTCTCCATAATATTTAACGGTGTCTGCGTTGCACATATTCGCGTTTTAAAATAACATAGTCAGCACGCTATGCGATCCATCTAAACACAAGAAATAAAAATTGCGACCAGACTCTCCAGAATTATTTTTGTAAGGGGTTTTGGTGTGACGATCGACAAATTAAGACGAATCATGACTTTCACTTAATTTAGCGATATTATTAATTCATATTGCGCATGTTTACTTACCAGTTTGAGCCACGCGTTCGTAGTTACTATTTGATTCTTCTCATCCTGAAACACGAGAAGTGATAAATTATTATTGCATCTGTATACGTATTTTTCTATTAATTTTGAAATATTTTATATGTATTTATTTGTCACGTCTGAAGGCCATTGACACTGTTTGTTATAAAAAAGAAACTACCTCGATTTCCAAAGGTAAAAATATTTATATACGCCATATTTCTCGTCGTTTTAAATATTGCCCAGCACCGATATCTTGCTACAACCATTCAGCTTTGCTAGGAATTTTAACGTGCGATAAACCGTGTTTCGTTTCTTGAAAGCGACCAATGGTGCTCGTGACGTGGCGGTCGACGAATCGCCAATTCAAAATAGCAAAAAAGTAAACGTATGTACATATGTACATATAATGCTCATACTAAAGTAAAGTAAACGCGAGAACGTAGAAGCGTGGCAAGGCGACGAAGTCGTAAAATTCACGCCAAAAACTGGAGAGCCAATAACCACAAATTGCTGCTGCAATCGTTCGTTTTCCAGTGCTCTGTAGGGAACCGCACTTCGCCACAAACTCATCAGAATTTCGGAGTGATTTATCAAACGAACACACTCGAACGATGGTGTCAATGAACAAACTACTCCGTAACTGATCACCGTGAATGAATTTAGTTTACGGGCCACCGCCGCAACTCGAAACTACCGCGATAAAATTGATTCGCTTCGACAAGGGGAGTAGCTAATCTTTGGTTTAACTTGAAGTGTCTAGACAGTTGAATTGAAATTGTAATATGAAATTGTTAATACTTAGATATTTGGAAAAATGACCTAAAATTGCAAATTTAAATTTTTGTTAAACCCTCGTCGAAGTCATTTACTTTTAGTTGTCATTAAATTAAAATTAACACATGTTTAAAAATTGGAAGATTATCTGACTGGCAACAAACGTTCACATTTCTCAGCAATTGCCCACGGGATTTAAGAAAGTATCGCCACTCGCGCAACAAGTATGAAACGATTTGAGCTTAACGACTCGTGACGAGGGCGTTTTAATAACGCAATGAAACCCACCCAGAAGGTGGTGGCAGCGCGAAAATAATGAAGAGAACAATTAGCAGACAGCGAGAACTCTAAGTGAATTTATTCTTTCATTTCTCGAGCTCGCGGACCTCGCCTCAACCGCGGGAATCACGACGTTTCGGTACGATGGAATTAAAGGCCAGCCTCCTGTTTCTTTCGAAGGAAAACGAAACGGATCGCGGCTCTCGTCAGCGAGAGAAGCCACAGCGCGCGGATTGGCTGTAAATTTTCCAGCAAAATTTTCTCCAACTCTGCTGTATGATGGAAAGAAGTTATCGAAGAACAATACGTTTGTGTACTTGCGAGGAGATTGAGTTTGTTGAAAACAAGTTCCGTAGAAATGTCTTCGACAGTCGGTCGTTGGCAAGAAAATGTTGCCGCGATTGGATGCCGGATGATTTAAACGTCTGTTTCAGGGAATTCGAGAATTTACAAGTGGTTAGTTTATAATTAATTATTCGTATTACTGGACGTATGAAACCGTAGGTTTTATAAAACTTTATGAACCACATTATCAAAAATTAGTAAATGTAAATAAACAATTTTCTATCTTGTCGCTGTAAATGTATTCAGCAATTGGAACATAATACTCGCTGAAGAATAGTCTTCTCAACGTCGAAATGAAATCGAATTAACGCTCGATTTCCACTTAAAAGTGGAATTGGGATCAAACATTGGTCTCCTGTTCGGTTCGAAGTGAAATTCTTCGGCGCATAAGGTTTTCCGGTCAAGAAGCACACGCGACAAACGATTTCAAAGTCGAAATTTTCTACGTTCCACGATTTTATCACAGTGAACGTATTGTCATCTTGGTGAGACGGTAGAGATTTAAATACGATGACAGGGCGGAAATTTATCGTGGCGAATTAATTAGATATGCAACGCGAATTCCTCTGTGGTATCTGTTTTGAATAAATTGCATATAGAGCTGATTGCATGTACAAGTCGCCTTAATAGGTCAGTCTCCTATCCCGGTCGTTAAACCGACTACCATGGAAATTATACGCGCACTTTTTTTGCCCCCGCAAGTTTCAATTGTCTGTACTTTTTGGCGTAAAATCGATGCACGTTTTATGGTCGATTTGCTGCCAACGCTCAACCATTAAACTCAACTCGTTTGAAAAATTATTGCCACAGTCTTGTGAACGCTTTCCATTAGCTAACCGAAGGAACGAAAAAAAAAAAAAACGATATAAATTCGGTTGATTTTAACTCCTGCAACGGTATATCAAAGCTAGGAGTGTTACGCTAGGAATATTTTGCGCGTTAATATTTTTTGTTCGTTGCCGTAAACGTAATCGATTAGATGGTTTGTTACTTGGAGTGCAATAAAGAAAACGGTAATGATAGAATTAATATTTGTAAAATTAAGATTGAATGAAACGTAAGGGATATTTTAGGTTCACTTCATAGTTTAGATCGGCAAAGATTAAAGGTGTGTTCCAAACATTTGAAAGAGTGGTGTATATGCAGAGTGTACCAGGATTTAACGGCCAAACAGTAGCGATATACTGCGTGTAATGGATGGCTATCCTACAAAAAGGTAACACACCGTGGACAGTTTCACAGAAGATTGACTTTATTTTTTAACACACGACAAACGCGAAATACAAACTTTCCAGCGATATGCACTGACAGAAGTTCGATAACAGAGTGAAAATACTATTACGAGCGAAGTCGTCTATTTTCAGTCATTCGTTGCAAATGTGTAGCGTTTATTTAATGGAACTATATAATATATAATTTCTACAACGAAATTGTTGACACTACGTTACGATCTTTGCTTGCACACTGTGATGAGACGTGTTTCGATTACTAATTGCAGGTGTATTATAACTTCGATCCACGAACGTGTGTTTGTATTGTTAGGAGAATAAATATTGACGAGGCCAAGATTAATCGTTGTTTAATACATACCGTGGCGCAAGAGAGCCCCAAATTATTGAAAATCAATATGCGGCCAAATTATCGAATCAATCATCGCGAAACAAACCGCGCTATGTGTAGGTGCCGCCGCTAACTAATCTGGTTACTAGATTGTGGGAAACTTTCGCTGTAGTCTGGGCGCGTGCGACTACATTCAGAAATTAATCCGCGAGTTAATTGATATTATTATATTCGTTGCAAGACGATGAAATCTTTGCGAATAAACTTGCATCGAACAAATAGCAACACAAACCGATTCGTACTGCAAACTAATAGCGAAAAATGTTTGACAGACAAGCAAGGAAGCGATCCTTTGATCTACCTTACAAAAGTGGCGAAGTACCGTAATGGTTTGTATATTTTGTTTGCGGAACTCCTAGGTACGTGTTTGATGTAAACGCGTATTCACCAGCGAGCCACGATCCAGGTGTCGAAACTAATCGAAATTGTTTCACACCAACGCCTTTGGTCACGGTCGGCGCAACGCTTTCCCCGCAATCTACGTCTCTATTCACTTCAAAGCGGACTGCGAAGATCGATTCCAGCAGGTCAACACTTCGCGACGAAATTTCCGTCTCGAGCCATGAGGAACACGCACAAAATACTTGAACCAGTGGTTTTCCAGAAAAAAAGAAGAAAAAGAGGAAAATGATATTTCTATGCCGAACATCAATAGATTAAAAGTGTTCGTTTTTAAATTACGTCGTATTCCATTGTGTTAACATTGCAGGATAAATTTATGGACTTCTAGTCTCATAAACATGTACGGTATGTTACAAATTCCAAAAGGTTCCAACTGCTCTGTTTCCTAACGATAACTTGTTTGACCAATAAATCTTCAGGGTGGGGACAGGTTTCCATGCTTGCAGAGTTAAAAGGAAACGCTGAAATGAGGGTTGCTTATTACTCAACAGGACACTACGCGATGAATACAATCGTGCTAAATGTTTGTTATTGATTTGTTATAACAGTCTCTATATATTAAAACCTCTGTAGGAATACAAATGATTTGTCTCAAAATCTGCCAACAAGATTATTATTTTATTTTAGGCAAATGAGAAGTAAGGAATGAATTGTGCAAAAATATTTTTCTCATTTTTATTAACATTATTAGACTCTCTTTAAATTGCAAAAACGTCACAAGGATTTTCAGAGATCAATCAAACTGAATTCCGAGGTCTAAATTAGCAACCATTTTAAAACTAAGGTACGAATTTCTAAAGAATAAAAAGCAACATTCGCTGGCTTTATGAGTCCACCCGTTGGGATGCGACAATACTGTCTGGCTTCTCGGTTGGCCTGTCTGTCTGCTCTTCAAGAAAACCTATAGACACAAGTTACTGTCTCTCGAGTAGGTACTATGCAGAGCAGAGAAGTTGACCTCCCAATGGAATTGTGAATCGTGTTGGGGTAGACATTTCAGTCAGGCTTCGGACTGTGACTAAGCAAGGATTACTCAACGCTGTCTAGAGATCCCTTACATATGGTGCTGGTGGCCTAAACTGGAAGTTATTGCGTTTCCTATGAGATAATGCTGGTATATATACAGTCGCAGAACAATTGTTGGCCCCAAGAGAGAATATTTATGGATGTTTCGTAGTGACATCTCATCGTAACAAAAACAAACGAGAATACATACCACTTTACAGATTTTTAAACTGAACAAAACACAATAATTTTTCAAAAACTTCGCTATCACGATTAATGACTCTATTTTCGTGAATAATACTATGAATAATAATTTAGATGCCGTATAATCTATTGATCGAACACTATAGTTCCTACTGCCGCGAGACTCCCACGGCAATTGACGCGGCCATTTTTGTTTTTTAAATTGGAGCATCTTAATTGAGTCGCGATTTTTCGAGCTCGCTGTGTTTCGGAAACACTGTCATGCTTCTCCAGGGAATAACCAATCACGATCGAGGAATTTCTTCGAAAATACAACCGAATTCGTATTGTACACAAATTCAAATTAGTCCTTTCACGAACGCAAACCAATCCAGATCAACAGGTTTTCCTGCGATCGTTTGCCAGCAGAGAACAAT